TGGGTGCTGTCTCATCCACTAAGACACAGAAGAGGCAAAACCAGTTCTGCTGGTAAATGTCCACCATCCCCACACCCAGACTTAAGAAACCATGGCTTAAAGAATCAGGGGACTGAGTTCTTGGGGTACTGTAAATTTCTTCTTACTGTCAGTCAAACAGAAGAGTCCTGAATGCTTGTGTTCTCCTGAAGCCAGGTAACAGGGACTTTAAAGATGGTTTGACTGGGCCTTGGAAATGTAACGGTTGTGTCTAAGTCCCAGTAAGACAATAACAAAAGCTTATGGACAGCTGTTTATTTGTCAACAGAGAGAACGGGGTGTCCTTGGGACATGTGGCGCATCAGCATTGGTGGGGCAGGAATGCTGGAATCATGAGCAGAGATGTAAAAGTCAGTGACAGCAAGGGAAAATAGGACCAGTGAAGGGCCCTCAGTAGAAAAACCTTGAAAACAACAAAACTTGGAACTAGAGTTCCACCCCAAGGGTGCCAGCCCCGGGTTTCCAGTGCTATCATATTCAGTTCCTTGCCTTTGCTTTTCCTTATCTTTCTCCTTCTCCCTCCCTCCAGTCTGAGCCTGAACCTGTGGAGCAGAAATGTAGCTAGGACCTCAGGGAGGAAGAAGTAGAACCGATGGGAGAGTCAGTCAGTGTGCATTGTATGGCAAAGCAAAACCAGCTGATACCAAGGAAAAGAAACAGTCCTTGGGATATGTGCTCAGAGTTCCTTTTTATTGGTGTGTGTGTTGGAGCTGTTTTTGTGTGGATGTGTGAATGTGGGTGCAGGTGCCCATAGAGTCTAGCAGAGGGTGCCTGATGCCTTGGAGTTGGAGCTGTGAACTATCTGTCCTGGATCCTGGAAACCAGACCAGGTCCTCTTGGTCCAAGAGTAGTGTATGCCATTAACTGCTGAGCCATTTCTCCAGCCCTGTACTTAGAATTCGGATGAGCAACAGGAACTGGTCTGGCTGTTGTGAAGTGTTCATTATAGATGCCAGTGTTTGGACCACAATAACAAACCTCAGCGTTTGTCACCTGGTCACAGGAGTTGTCAGTTCAGGAACACCATTTCCCTATGTCTCCTCCCTGGCCTTCACTACATTCTAACAAAGCAGACCTCAGACACTGGATCATTTTATCAGTCGTTTAGTGCACATCTTTAAAACATGCAGCAAAAGCATGCATTAAACTATAGTAAAGTTTCCTCGATTTCATCACATACCCAGTCAGCGTTTAAATTTCCCAAGATGTCTCATAATACCTTTACACAGTTGATTTGTTTGGCTCTGAATTCTAAGTCTTCCCATATTGGAGCCATCTCCGAAGGTCTGTGTCTCATCAACAAGATTCCCACCCACTTTATTTGATGGGGATCCTGGTTCTTTTGTCCTTAACATTTGGTGTATTGTGGACTTACCCACTTACGTCTCTTCCTGTTCTCTGCCATGTTCCTTCATCTCTTGGGCTTCCTGGCAGGTCAGATTTAGATCTAAAGCTTCGACCAGAGTCATATGTGACTCTGTTCTCTCTCCACAAGCCATCTGTGTGGGTGGCTTGTTTTCTTCCTAGAAAATTACATCAGAAGCCACATAGTGTCTGGTTGTGTCTGTCGTGTGAAGAATGGTCAGCCTGTCACTGTGTGGACACTTCTTACTGACTGTACATTTCCCTACTGACCTGTGACACAGTGAATTTAACAGTCACTGGGGTCATCAGCCACACTTGGATTGTGAAGTAGTTATGTCTTTCCTTCTTCACTTTACATTATTAAATATTTGATGACTAAGCTGAAGTGTATTCCTTCTGAAAAGCAGAAGAACCTAGTTTATTGTTGTTTCCAGTCTCCAGAATATTAAGTAGATGTTATTCACCACCAAAAAGTAGTCACTGGGATGGATTATTTTCAGTTTTCTTTTGAACTAACTCATCACACTTACATTTTTTGGTAAGTAGGAGCGCTTTTGTATTGTTGGAGTTTTAGTTACTGATCACTTATTGGTTTTTTTCCCCTGCATGTGGTGTTGTGTGTGTGTGTGTGTGTGTGTGTGTGTGGTATATGTCCACATGTACAGGGTTACATGCCTGTGCATGTACCATGCACAGGCCATATGAAGGCTCCAGGTGTCTTCTATCATTCTCTGTGTTCTTCATTGGCTGCAAGGTTTCTCTCTGTTTTTCATCTAGGCTAGCAGCCATCTTGCTCTAAGAATCCGTCTGTCTCCACCCTTCAAAGTGCTGGAGTTACAGATGTAGAGGTAGACCATGCCTGGCTTGTTCTGTGGATGCTAGGACCTGAACTCAGTCCTCATGTTATAAAGCAAGTGCCCTTAACCACTGCAGCATCTCCTCAGCTTCCTCTGCATTAGGGTTTGCTTTTCTTTCAGGCAGGGCATCACCATGTAGCCTCGTACTGGTTACAGGCACCAGTATGGGCTTTTGGAATTTATCTCCTGTAAATCAAACTTTTAAAACCAAAATAAAACTAAAGAGACTGTTTATCTTAACACGATAGGGAAAATATTGGGGGGTTCTAACATTATATTTAAGAGTGGATATAGAGTAAGTGGTTTGCAGTGCTCTGTGTTATAGAAGATAAAACTATTTTTTATTGTACTGCATGGAGACTTGGCAAATGAAAGACAATAGTGCCTCATCTTCTGCTTTCCCCGGTGAAAATACCATATAAAGTCTGTCAATCACTGCACCTGAATCAATCTGGCATATACCTACCTTTTCCAAAGTAATTTACAGTCGCTGAGAAGGCAGTGCATGAGACTCCACGGCATCAGAGTTGGGTGTGCTACCAGTAACAGAAACTAAAATAACAGGGTCCTAGAAAATATTAATGGTGCATTTCTTTTTATGTTAAAAGAGACGAACCTCTGCTTCTCAGCATTTTGTCTAAGAGTCAATGTGGAGAAGGCACCCCACAGCTAGCATGAATGACCCAATCTGTGGCCGTTACAGCCCCAGATCCTCCTATCATGGATTCGTTGCTCTCACGTGGAACCTCCACAGTATGTAGTATAAAATAGTTCTTCCAACTCCAACTATCAAGTCAACACCCTAGTCAGTAGGAACAGAAAGGGAGGAGATAGGAAGATGCCCGTTAAGGATCCCCCTCCTCTTCTTGAGACGGCTCCTAGGAGCTAAGATTACAGATGCACAGCGCCACATCCCTCCAGGATGCTTCCATTTCTGCCATAGTCTCTTGTTCAGAAGAGTTACATGGCTATACCAAGTTACAGGAAAGGCTAAAAGTAATGTAGCCTTTATTCAGGCTGCCCAGATGTCTAGATGATCTTCAGGCAACCAGTTACCCTAGGGAAAGGAAAGGGGATGAAAATAGTAATCTTTGCTACAAACTGTATTTTTAAAAGTCTACCTCTTTTGTACATATTTTCCTGTCTTAAAATCTCAGCTTATCTTCCCTTCTCTTCCCTCCCCTCCCTTTCCCTCTCCACCCCTCCCTTCCCCTTCCCTAACCCCCTCTTTTTGTCTTTATTATTCAGCAGCATCCAATATATGATGTAAAAAGAGGCTGTAATTAGCAATTTACATCTAAAACTACACAGGAAAGTTGTACTGCCTCCCTCCCTTTGTCTCATCCTCTGTCCCTCTCTGCTGTGCTCCCTCTGCTTACACTGGGACTTCTTGGTTATTAACTTTCTGGTTACACTGCACCTCACATAAGTTCTACACCATTACGTTGTCCTGACTTAAAGGCCAGACCCTGTGCTTTGTCCACAGGGCAGATGAGGCTCAGTTCCAAAAAACCCTTATGAGAAGGTAGCTTGCTGTCTGTCTGTCTGTCTGTCTGTCTGTCTGTCTGTCTGTCTGTGTCCTGCCTCCTAATAGGGGTCCTTATGGCAGAGGAATAGGTGAGATTTCATGTGGGTAAGTCTGAAAGGCTTCCCAGAGAGAGTTGCATGCCACCTGAGGCTGGCAGGATCACTGAGGTGTTCACCGGAAAAGAAAGAGACAAGAGAGTACGTTCAGACACAGGACACTACATTTGTGAAGTGGCTTACACAGAAGGCTAATGGGACACCTCGGAAGCCAGGCATACCGAAGGTGTCAAAAGGAGGCCTTGCCTCATACAAGGCCCCCATTGCTTCCTTTCATAGATGAAGGAACTGATCTTCCAAGGCACTGGGCAGGTGGTAGGTAGGAGGGATGGAATTCAAACTGGTAAGTAGAATAAATAGCCCTGTGTAGATCACTCCATGCCCTAATCCCCACAACCTGTGTCTGTGTGAGCTTGGGTGACAAAAGGGAATTTACGTTCCAAATGGAGTTACAGAGCCCATCTGCTGACCTTAACGTAGGTCGCCTGTCCTAGATGACCACTGTGAGATGGGCCCAGTATGGTTCTCAGGATCCTCAAATGGAGCAGAGGTAGGAGGAAGAGGTTTCAGCAATATGGAGCAAGCAGGACTTAGCCTGAAGTTTTGGGGTTTGAAGATGGAGAAAAAAAAAGAATCAAGACTGAGGCCACCAGGGTGTCCCTCAGTAGGTTGGATAGTCCCAGAGGCAATGTCCCTTAGAGACCTGTCGGAAAGGAGCACAGTCCCACAGTCACCATGATTGTCACTCAGCCAGACACATTTCAGACTTCTAAACTAGAGAATTGTAAGGTAACCCCATTGTGCTTCGAGCCTCTAAGCCTGTGGCAATTCATGATAATAGCAATGGGAAATTTGCACACAAGCTGAGCTCTATTGACCCCTGGACCCCTGTTCTTAGTTCCTTGTCTACATGACTTAACTGTTGCAGAGGCTAAACCCAGGAGCTATAAGAATTAAAATTGAACTCCTCTTATAATTCTAAGTTTCTCCAAACCTCATTTTCAAACTATATAGCTAAGGATACGCATGTGCCTCTTAGCTTGGTGAATTTTGAAAGGATGTGGTCATGGCCTTTGACATCAGAGGAGGGAGCTCAGCGGTGAGGCTGGCTGATGCTGATAGAAAGATAAGATTAGAGGCAAGTTGCCTTTGAACGACTCTCTAAAGATCAACTGCATCCTGTCGAGTTCCCCGCTGCTGCTCCTCTCCTTCAGTCACACTGAGGGGTGATGCCTGAGGCGCATCACTTTTCACAACTGGACCATGAACAACTTCATCCTTCTGGAAGAACAGCTGATCAAGAAGTCCCAACAGAAGAGAAGGACTTCTCCCTCGAATTTTAAAGTCCGTTTCTTTGTCTTAACGAAAGCCAGCCTGGCTTACTTCGAGGACCGCCATGGGGTATGAGAATGCTTACTTTGTGCTTTATTTACCGTTCTGTGTTTGGACAGAGCTGATTTGTGGGATAAACTTTAACACCTGGAATACAGGCACAATGTGTTTAGCAGCCACCAAAGAGATCAGACCAAATGTGGAGAGTTCTGAGACTCTGATGTTGGTTAGATTTGGCTATTTCAGTTTTAACATCTGTAGTTTTAACATTCATCCATTTCTCTTCTCCATAGGATTATGTTAAATTTTAAGCATTAAAAATATCTTATGTGGTGGATGTTGTGGATAGATCTTGAAGTTTATGTGAAAGTGAAGTATATGGCATTTACAGTCTATAGGGCAGTAAAATATTAAGTATTATTGCTCATTAAGACACAAAGGGCACCCTAACGCAACTTCCCTGTTTTACAAAAGACGTGGGTTCTTAGAATGTGAAGGGAACGGTCCTATGAAAGATTTTCATGGCTTGAACTCTCCTTGTCTCAATGGTCATCACTTCCCTGAGGCCACAGGGTCATGCTTCCATTCATGTAACATTCTACAGTTGTAAGGCACATGGCAACCCTCTTCATGGCAAAACATCTCAGGAGACTAGGGGTTGGAACCCAAAGTTTCTGCCTGCACATCAGGGATCCCCCCCTAGAGTGTGGCTGCTCAGCGAGATGTGTCTAATGACATCTTCATCTGCTGCAGTGACAACAAAAGCAAGTGAGTGTGTGTTAATAATACAGTGTGACAGAAGCACTGGGTGCTGCCGGGAGCTTAGCCCCAGGCTAAGTCCTCTCTGAAGCAGCCTAGGGCCAAGAGCATCCGTCAGCTGGGGCAAGAGAGTAGGGTTGCTTTCTAAAATAACCTAAGCCTATCTTGACTTTCTCTGAGGCCAGAAGCTGCAGGCCTCTGGATCTATTGACACTTGTTACTAACAGCAAGGGGGATTAGGTAAAGGATTATCTATCCCTATTTCACTCTTCTCTGTCCAGCAGCCAGAAGCCTCTCTGACTAGGCTGGTTAACTCTTTGTGAACCAGAGAGGAAGGAAAGGAAAAGAATCAAGATGTCTTATACAGGCAGATATGCACAGACACATATGCATTCACACCAACATTTACATTTTAATTCACATTCTTATTTACACGTTAACACATCCACACTTTTGTGGGGCCCAATCACCTGTCTCATCCACTCCACAAGTATCCATACATGCTTACATACACATATGTACATAGAGACAAACAGACATACACATTTGGATAGATGGGTAGATGGGACAGAGCCCCCGACCCCCCAAGCCAAACTATCTAACAACTTTATTTCTTTTCTCTGGCTTTTTTATACCTTCTCAAACAACAAGTTCTTTGGAAAATTACCTCATAGATAAAATGGGAGTTGCAGAAGGATGTTGATATTTAAGTTCAAAGCAGTGTTTCATTCTATATGCTTGTTATAAGTTCAAATCAACAGTTTTTACATGGCCTTGACTTATCATAGTACACACCTGTGGTTATATCCTTGGACCTAAACGCTTTTCCTTGAACACAAATTTGTCCCAAGTCTATTTCTCTTTTTAGTGTAATTCTGAAAGCTCATTGTATTTCTTATTATGCAGCCTTTTCTTACTATTCTGAAAAGTGGGCACATTCTATTCTTGATTACATTTTTCTTATTACATTTTTCTAACAAAGCAACTAAGACCATCTCTTAAAACTTTCTTCCTAAAATTATTTGAATCAAATCAGGAATTCTATAGAATAATTAATTCATCTAAACAGAATTAGTTCATGAAAGTTGATCTTTATGTTGATATGCAGGAAATATATGACCAATAGGATATGCTAATGCCCAGGAACTATTAATTGAATAATGACAGGAAAGGCATATCAGCTGCAAGAATCAATCCTGAGATGAAGTATCTTTGGGACCTTGTTATCAAGCTCACCCATTGCACACCATGCAAAAAACAGTAGCCCACCTCTAGGAAGGCCACCTGCTAGCCTTAGCCTATCCTAGATGGCTCCTGACAGGGTGGGGGTTAAGTAGTCACTGTGCTTCCCACTGAGTGAGTCAGCCTGGGCAAATGTCCTTCTCCATCAGACTCTTCCTTCATAAGTACAAGTTCCACTCTTTCTTTCAGAACCAGTGGCTCTTGGTCAATCCTCCTCAAGCACTTTTCAAAGCTTGTTTGATTTCTTACCATATCATTGTAGTATTTTTACATCTTTAGAGAGGCAGGGCAGAGATGAGTACTTAGGTTTTAGCTTGATGCTCACCGAGACAAGGATGCTTCTGTTTCTTGCCGGTGTATCACTAGAAGATCCACGTCAGGAGAGTGAGATCCAGTCTTTGAAGCTTTCCATGAACTTGGAGCAAATCACTTGGAGCGGGGAAATGCCTAGCCTTTTAATTTTCAGGTAAAATAATGCTGCCTCTCTGTCCTTGTACAGTGAAGAGAATCACTTGTCTTCAGCGGAGTCTCACTGATAACTTACCAATAGATTAGAGGCAGAGAGAATGACGTATATTTAGGCCCCATTGGTCAGTGGTCAGGTGCCAAGCTGTGGGCCTGGAGAAATCACCACATAAACTAATAAATCACATGACATCAACTCTGTGTTTCTGTGACTGGAACATGAAATTCATGTTTCATAATTAAAGCATAGCCATGCACCTTTAAATAACTCTTCATTAAATGGATTTTACACTTTAATCAGTTTTTAAAAATAGTTTTTAATTTTTAATGTAATAATATAATTACATTATTTCCCCCTCTCCTCTCCCCTTCTGAACTCTTCCATGTATCCTCCTTGCTCTCGTTCAAATTCATGGTCCATTTTTTCTTTGTTGATGTTATTGGTGGTGGTGGTGATGGTGGTGGTACCTGTGATAATGTCACTATGTAACCCAAGCTTTAACTTGAAGTCTTTTTGCCTCAGCCTCCAGTGTGTCTTGATTATGAGTGGATTATTAATAGGTGAGACCATATCTGTTTTACCTCTTAAAAATCATAAAATAGTTTCTAACATAGCTGGTATGGTGGCACTTGCTTGTAATCCCAACACTAAGGAGACTGAGGTAAAACAATCAATACAAGTTCAGGGACAGCCTGGGCTCCATGATGGCTTCCAGACTAGCCTCGGCTACCCAGCAAGTCTTGATCTTGAGAAAACAAACAAATAAACAAACAAACAAACAAAGAATTAGAAAGAGAAAGAACAACTCCATGACAAATACTTCATTCTGTAGCCCTTGGCTGTAGTATTAATAGTTCCACAAAGAACATGTGTGTGTATGTATGTGTGTATGTATGTATGTATGTATGTATGTATGTATATATGTATATAATATATGTGTGTGTGTGTGTGTCTCTCTCTGTGTGTGTGTGTTTTGATTTGCTTTCTTATACCAGTTGTTTATAATTATATTTAACATTTTGAAACTTTTCTTTAAACTCTACAAAGTTTATCAGTTAGTTATTCAAGATTACCAAGTTTTTATTACATATATCCATTCTGACTCACTCAGTGGGAAGCACAGCGATTACTTAACCCCCATCCTGTCAGGAGCCAACAGGATCACTACCCCAGGTATTGCCGGGAGTCATTCCCTTCCCTGAGTTGCAGTCTGACCCATGTAGCATCTCTGAATCAAAGAGGGCAGTTAGAGAGATGTTCCCTTCCTGCCTTTTGTAACCATAATGTAGCATCATCAAAACACACCTTCTGGTGTCAGACAGATCTGGGTCAAAGACCAGCTCTAGTGTGACTTACTATAAATCACATAGTGCTGTGAGATCTCGAAAAAGCCATGTGTTTGAAAAATTGGATATTTCCTTTTGTTTTCTTTTTAATGAGGTGAAGGTCACCATTCTTCTAATACTAAACAGTGACTAACATTCAGCACTTCCTGTGTGTTGGTGTGTTCATGTGGATTGTCTTGAATAAACACTACAATTCTCCTGTAAGTAGGAACTGTTAGTCCCTCATTTATAAATCAGGGAAGGAAGTGCAGAGGGTTTAAAGAACTTCCCTGAGGTCCTTTATGTCTCTAGAGCTCACACAGTTCCATGGTAAACGGTGCTTCTTATGGCTAATGTTACTGCCTGGGTATTACAAAATGTCATGTGCTCTTACTCTGTAAAGAGTTCGACAGTTGACATCTCATTTTCTCTCGATCTGTCACAGTGAAGTACATTATGAGCTCTGTCTCTTCTGTGCACACTCCAGGACAAATCTCTCCCCACTCCGCTGTCTGGAGCTCTGTTCTGCATCTAAAGTAGCATGAATACACTCATCAAGTTTGCTACTGAAGCTGCTGCAGTCCACCAGCATTTTCTCAGTCACTTTCCCGACAGAAGTCCACATGTCTCATCTAGCACTGCTGCTCCGGTGACGGTCACCTTGCGCCACCACACTGCACATAGCAGCCTGGCTGAGTGCTCATGTTGTGACTGTGATCAGTTGACATGGTTCGCATCATAAGCCAACATACTTATGACAGGGTTATTTCCATTCACCTGGAGCACCAGAATCTAGGATATTTGTCCCTCTTTGTCTTTGCTCTGGGATCCAGGCACATGACACCTGATCAGCTCTAAATGCCCGTTCCTTAGAGAAGCCTTCCTTAAAGTCTTCAGATTGGGTCAACCTCCCATTGTGTTCTGCCATAGCAATGTGTGCCTTTTCTTGAGTGTTCATGCCAAAGTCATAATTGCCCATTTACTAACTGAGCCTCCATTAGACAGAAGCTTTATAAGGACTGATATCTGATGATACCATCAGTTTCCACAATGCTTCCTGCCTCTTAACAGTCATTAGCCTTTTGTTTGTTTAGTTTTGTTTTTGTTTCTTCCTGTGGAGGGAGTAGAAGGAGAAAGGAAAAGCATGAAGGAAGAAAATGTAGATTTGGCGTAGAATAAAGTTAGTGTAGCACAAATAAGCCCCGTTAGAAAAGGACTCCGTACTAAAGAGATATCTCATGATGCCATGGACCACCCCAGTTGGGTATGGGAGTCCC